GTTTTAATAACCACTCTTTTAAACTAAAAACTATTCAACAACTATGGGTTTTATGCCTATTTTTCTTTTATGCTTACAACACTTTAGTTTATTAAATATTAATACATAATTATATGTAATAACTTTGGTATTGAAAATCAGTTTATTAATACATTCACCTTATCTTAAATCATTTTGTATTATTAGAAAATAAATAAGGTACCATTTCGTCAGCTAATTATAGTGTAACTTACTGCTATTACTACTATTACTTTGCCCATTGATTTGTTACTAAGCTGATAGATGTTGTAATTTTTCAATTAATTGGTTTACGGATAATTTGTAATTGTGATTTTGTAATTTTACTTGCTTGACTTTAAGTCATAACTGGTATTTAAATATTAATCTCACTGATACAAAATACTTGTATACATTTATTTAGCTTAAATGTAATTTAGAAGCTGCTAAGGTATTAAATAAATATGAATTTGTGACATTAAGTGATGCTAATAATATATTATTATTTATAAATATTTGTTCTTAAATGCATTCAAATAAGAAAACTCATGTTTTGAAGAATGAATTTGCATATATTTTTCAAAATTACTGATATCTCACCTTTTCATAACCAATATTTAACCTACAAAGGATTAGAAAATCATTTTTATTAAAGAAAACAAAACCTTATGTCAAGGAATTCAATTAACTTTCAATTTAATTCTTAAAAAACCCTTAAGAGCAAAGTGTCCCTGACTCCGGTCCCCGACCTACGTTTGGCATTCAACATTCCGTAGATGAAAACTTTCCCAGCAACCTTAGAGAACGTTTAGCAAACAGTGGCAAGGGCAGTTACCACAGTGAAATCTGGCCAAAATCGGCGCTAATGCTAAACCGCAGTTGAAGGTTTCACAGTTTGCCGGGGCTCACAGATTGTGTGCATATAAATTGTAAATAATTTGCAAGCCTGTGCTGTGAGTTGTTGCTGGCTTTATAATTTGATTGAGCTACCGAAAAATTGAACGAGGCACGAGTTCCCCGTACCGCTTTTCAGAGTCCGAAATTATGACAGCTGCACACGTCGCTCTGAGTCGCCGGCCAGCCAGACTGACAGTTTATATTTATTAATATCTTATTTATTAAGTTGCTCATGTTGAGCGTGGCGAATTGATTTGCCAAAATTATGGCTTGTGGCCAGCGCGAAAATGCTAATACTAGAGTTGGGTTCACCGCCCGATAAGCAATGCGACATTGATATATCCCCTTCAGCACCTCTCTCTCCCCATTGCTGTCTGTGTGCGCCGTTTAAGTTTTTTGGCAAACTCATTTAACACCTATTATTAATTAGAGTTGTCATAAAATCCAGCAAAATATTTATATTAGTTATGGCTTAAGCAACGCTGGCTGGTAATTGGGTATGAAAATGTTGAATATAACTTAAAAATAGTCAACAAGACTTGAAAAGATAGATATGTCTGACGATGCAATGTTGCGTGATGTGATAAAAATTAAATTAAGCTATATATTAAGCTATATAATATGTACATATAAGAAATATTTAATTTACATGAGGTAATGTTACCAACACGGCGTATGAGTGATATTTTCTTAGAAGCTTTGAGTGATGTAATACTTATAAAATCTACAAATGCAATATATTAGTTTATTATTATTTTATGGTATGGTGTTATAAAATGTTGTATAGAACTAGGAGAGGGCTGTGAAGTCTAAATAAGGTATGTCCGTGGCGTTCACACTGCGTATGAGTGATGTGTTCATAATAAAATCAGTGTATATTATGTATATAATATATATATAATAAATATATTTGGATTTTTTAGTACATATTACGTAAAAAAACTATATATTACGTAAAAAAGGGTATGCTATCTACACTACGTATGAGTGATATTATTTGAAAAGCATGGAAAACAGTACGTATGAGTGATATAATGAACTTATCACCTAGAAAAAGTTAACAAATACATATTAAATATTTATTTAGCTTATGGTATTATCTCAACTGCATAGTATAACCTACTTGTTCTGGTATTTTATAGGATAGTGTCACCCATATAAAATATAAATAAAACCCTGGCATGACTTTTTCGTTTAACATTTAACTTATTAACATCTTGCATGAAACCCTGATTTATTACAGAATTTTAATAGGCAAGCTCGTGGACTTGGTATTATGCAATAGTTGTCAATACTTGCAATTGCAATATTTCTGCCTAGTTATAACATAAATTTGTATACTAATGAGTACTAAACTTTGCGACTCACAATCCCCACCTTGGACTGAGCAAATTCCCAAACTCCCACCCGGGAAATCTTGACTTTTGCACTTGGGTTGGTTCTCTTTTCAGCGCGATTAATAATAATAAAAAACCATCCATGCAAATGTCAGCTCAGACGCAGTTAGCTCGGATAACTGTAATTAAAGTCATCGACGGCTTAACTGGCCAAGAGAGCTGGCAGCTGGAAAGATGGTTGGTTGGTGGTAAGTCGTTGCCAAGGCTCTTGTGGCATTTGTCAAGCGATCTGACTGTGGCTTAGACTCCGCAGCAAAGGCTAGACCCCCTCCAGAGATTAGACCTCGCCGAAGGGGGGTTGGCTTTAATTCTGCGCCGAGAGCAGTGAAAATATTATTATACCCTTGCAGGGGGTATATATCTGAGTTTTTTAGATAAATATATACATACTTTCAGCAACCATAACAATTTATTTATAAAACATTCTACTATGAACACACTAGACGCTGTTTTTCTTAGTTTTAATGTTAATAAAACTTAAGATTTGTTGATTTATTCTTATTTTTCAACTACTAAAAGGGTATTCAAACTCCACCTTTGCTAGATAAACCTCTACTCTTGCTTTTAATTTGCATTTCAGGCGTTTCGCATTATCAAGGTTCTTGGGGCCAACTTTGATCCACTTTTTTCTCCGCTGCCATTGTCTGACGGTGTAAATATTTTAGTTGGAAATTAACAGCAATTTGCAACTGAATGTTAACCGAGCCGTTTAGGCCGGCGAGAGTTGGCCCGAAAGCTAAAAAACTACTGGCATCCGAAGGGTTCAAAGCTGTTGGCCTGGAAAATTTGCCCCGTCATTGGCAAACAAAACAAAACTGACCAGAGTCAACAAAGCCAACACAACAACGAAAAAAACAACTGCAAAAGCCTCAAATATAAAGAAGAATTTGTATAAAATATGCAGCTAATTATGCGGATCATGGGGCAGTTCCCAAAATTAATCAGATTTAATTATGAAATGTCTTACTTTAATTCCCAGCTGATGAAATGCCTATAAATGCTCTTTTGAGTTGATGATATTGAAGATTTGGCAGAAGCTCCTCTGCTTTGGATTGTATAAACTCTTAATTTACGATGCCTCACTAATTCGCCATTATTTTTACTAGGCTCTTACATTTAATGGTCATAACTGCGACTATTAATTTGCCTGTATTATACAATTGCCTTTACAACCGATGATCATTTAGTGGCCCCTACATAACATAAATCTTCTTTACGACTTTTAAGCAGACTCCTTTGCTGTCACGTTTTTTTGCACGCTTACGTTAATGGTTAAATATTCTGTTGGATGAAACAATCAAGAACTATGAACTCTCTTATAGATCATAAATTATTTTTAAATATATAATGTAATTTTATTTTTATACAACAATATTACAATGTTTACCTTTTTATTTCACCATTTTTTTGTATCTCGAACATTCCCTGAGTAATACCAATCAATCTTTTGTTATTTCTGCCTTTAAAAAGATGACCTTCATTATGAGCTGTGTTACAGATTCGTTCAACACGAAGCCCCCATCGAATTCAAGTTCATGGCTCGGAGATACACCTGTTTGCCACACTCTCACCATCTCTTTAACTCTTTCTCCGCGTGACTCACCTGACCGAAAAGCCACAGCAACAGTAACGAGTTTTCCACCAGCCAGCTTCGTTGGTCGTTGACTTCGGCTACGAATATGTGTCAAGGTCGTTGCCGGCTCCGCTCTTTCTCTCTCTCACTCACTTTTTTCTATCTCCATCTCTTGTGTACGTGAGGAATGGCAGCGGACTAAAAAAGAGGTAAAAACCTTACACAATTTCACAATTTACTGCAAAATAAAAACATCATGCTTTTTGGGAATCTCCCTGCTCGAGGAAGATGTTCAATTAAAACTGCATTACATAAGGCGGAATAATTCAACAAAAAAGAAAATATGCAGGGTAACCACAATGAAAGAAACGGAAGCTTGTGGTGACCTTGATTTTGTATCTGGTTCTGCAATAGAGCAAAGCTCAAATGCAGGTACACTACAAAAAATTAGAAAACACCAACAAAATAAGTTCCCTTTCCTAATGTTTATTTTAAATTAAAGTTTAAGGTAGATTTTGGTGTACTTACCGCTTTCTTTACACTAGAATTCCCAAGTGGTTCTAACTGCAAAATGAGTGAATAATAATGATCACCCTGAAAAAGCCAGAATTACATAGCAAAGGTGATTTAGTGTGTTTTTTAACGTTATAGTTATAGAATAATTGAAAACTAAACAATAATGCCATAAAAAGATTACAATACTTGGTTTCATTAAATAAATTAAATTTCTCAATATATTTAGAAAGGGGTTTTAGCAAACTAAACAATTTATAAATAATTTTCCGTATAAATATTTGTTTCCCAAATAATTTTCCCCCGTGTACCCGTAGTCCACTTCTGACCCCACGCCCACTCCGGTCGCAGCTTCTTCGCAACTTCGGCCCAGCTTCGGGCCACTCGAGCAGAAGCCAACTTTTGGCATTAACCACAAAAGCGTCGTACAAATTATAGCCGTGCTGTCATGGTGTGTCTGTAAGTGTGAGTGTCTGCAGCTGTGTGTGCTCGACCGAGTATCTGTGTTTGCAGGCGGCCCCCCAAAGCAAATAATGTTTAATGTAGTTTTTTCTCTTAATACTTGAAGCGTCGGGCGGCCGCCGTCGCAGTTAGTCTCAGCACAGCCGCAACGGAGTGTGCACGCGCCAGCAGAGCAGTCAGCCAGCTTAGAGTTAAAGATAGAGTTAGAAAAAATAGTAAAAAAAAAACTGAGTTACATTTGCCAACTACCGCCAAAAACTTTAAGTCCCGAACGAGTTTGCCCGGTGAATGCGAAAATTAATCTTTTCCAAATTCGAAACAAAGTTGTGGCGGCGAATGGAAAAATCGAAATAGAAATAACAACAACAAGTTGAAAAGTGTCAATTCAAAATTGTTGTCCCATGAATCGAAAGTGATTGATCGATAACGAAATCGAAGGACTTTGCATATCGAAATCGAGTATTGAATCGAGAGCAGGAAAATAAACTGATAGGAGATTACGATAAAACATAAATCGAAACAAACGATAACAACAAACCCTTAAACTGAAATCGAAATAATCGAAGTAATCAAAAGTGACGAATTTCACTGATAACCTTCAAAACAAACAAATCTAAAAATACACGCAAAGTAGCCCAAGTGAAGACACCACCAAAATAATAATAATAATAAAACGAAAGAGAGGCCAATTGAATTTCGATCATCTCTCCCACTCACACCCACAACTACGCTCACCTGGTCAAAAATGGATGCGCCCAAGCAGGTAAATGACAAATTTATCCCACCAAAAAAGATACACACACTCTGTGTGTTGTTGCAACTTTAACTTTAACAAGTTAAGTAGGCTAAGCGAGAACAACAACAAAAATGTGCGTGACAAGTTGGCGGCCTGTCTTTGTGCCGCCTCCGAAAAGTAAGTGCCACGCCCCTTGGCCCATTAATGCCGGGCGGCACACCGCAATGGCTTAAAAAAGAGAGAAAAATAAAAAAAAAAACGTGTTTACAATTTGTTTTTTTGCTGTATTTGTCTCCTTTTCTCATTTCGGTTTGTTTTTTACGTCTCTTGGCAATTGCAAATTTTTCTCAACCCCATCATTCATCATAATTTCGCGACATATATACATATATAGTATGTTTTATTTTTTAACTTAAGCCTCAGTGGGTTGATCAATAAGTAAATTGGAATTATTGCTTTGCGGGATTTTGCTTTGATGTGCTTTGCACTAACTTTAATTGACATATTTCGAAATTGTTGGGAAATGTGGTTGAAGATTATTGGATATTTATATATTGCATTTATATTTATATATTAAAATATTAATATTAAATATATAATCTAGCTCTTCAATATAAATACTGAAACAAAATTGAATAAAGCTTTAACAAAAATTAATTACTAGTTTAATATGACATATTTAAAAATATTTAATAAAAAATAAAAAGAAACTATGTAACTACAATTACAAGAAATTGTTTTTAAACTAAAAAATGCAATTTAGCATACTTAATAATCTTTAATAAAAAATTTAAAAAAAACAATGTAACTACAATACAAAGAAAAATTTGTAGTTGAAAACATTTTTTTTTCAAATTTGTACAGTTTTTTTTTTTTAATTTATTTTAATAATAGCATTTTTTAAAAGTGAATTTTTGAATACTAATTAATATTTCATCAGTAAACTATAGTTAATTGTTACAAATAAAAAAAAAAAAAAAAAAAAAAAAATGAGAGAACGTCAACCTATATTTGTTGTTCGAAAAAATATGAAATATTTAAGAATAATAAAAACAAATAATATAAACAAAATAAGTATATTATTACCTTTTTTTTGTATTTTTATTTTTCCTGTAATATGTAAATTTATAAAATATTCTATGAACTCAACAAATTTGTATCTATTTGTAAATTTTAACTTCACACCCAACTCCCCAGCTTCTCGTTTATGTTCTTAGCGATTAAGATTCCGAAATCACTTCTGAAGCCAACAATTTTAAATGGTGTTGCCCTGCTAAATTTTATTGCACTTTGTTCTGTGAGCAAAACGTGGCAGAAATAATAAAAAAAACTCCAACAAACTCGAGACCCACACACACACACCCCGAGAATGAACTGCAAATTGCATTCGGTTATTAAAATACTTAAAAAGAAGCAATTTTTCGGCGGCTTTCAATGCAAACTTTAATTGCATTCAATTTTGGTGCTGGTGGTGTTTGTGTTTGATAACCTTGTGCAGAATTCTCGAACAAAACTAAGAAAAAAAAGACAGCAAAAAAGCGGCAAAGTAAATGTTAAATGTTGGGCAATTTCTGCTCAGCCATGCAATTTTGTTTAATTTCAGAGTTAATAACAAATTCTATTAAGTCGCGCGGAGGTTGGTTTGTTCCGCGACGGAAGCTATATAAAGTTTACGAACCCCTTGACTCTTGGGACACGTGTCACCAAAAAGTAAAGCCAAATACTCGTACTTAAACTCAATCAAGTCGATCGCATTCCCAGACTGAAAATTCCCTTCACTTTGTTGTCGATTTGCTGCCACTTCGGGTTCGGATCCGGCGTTGTCGGATTTGACAATATCATATATAGTCAGCAGCACCCACGTGAATATCCAGCTGCGAGAGCGGCAAGAATGGGGAAGCGACCGCGGCACATCATCCAATTTGGTAGCAAACAAAAAATCTTTATAATTTATTGTTGTGTAAGAGATACACAAATAAACATTCTGAAGAGTCTCCTTTTTTGTTTGTGGGGGCTGATCTTTAAATCGGATAATGACTGCGACCGAAACGGATTTGGAATTGCCATCTGGAGCTCCGTTTTGGTTCTGGCATTTTCACTTTCGAAAAAATGAATTAAGCCAGGCAGCAGCAGCAGTTGAGATTAATTTATTTTTGTGGCAAAAAAGAGATAGATCACAAAGGAAGGAAGTTTGTCAAGAAGATGTTACGATTTTATCTGATCTCAGAACGTGAGAAATGAAAAGCTTGGGAATTAATTTGAGGGAGAGGAAATCAAAAACATTAAGTTAGTCAAAGATTTAACTTGAAAGAAACTAAGAATGGGAACTGATATAGTTTTAAAAACTATTCCTAGGAGGAACAAGTTAATCAGAGTAAACTCCCAGCAGGCAAAAACTTCGTTTATTGTTTTTAAAAGCGATAGTTTTGCGGATTTTAGGCGGACAAAACGTCTGATTAAGACTCATAAACGATAGTAAAGTTAATCAGATTTTCGGAAACCAAAAAAGATTTCAATTTTACATTTTACGACATCATTAGCGGATACAACCCTGAGAATTCGCCATACTCGTCCGCTATTCGTCCGTTTGCGTGTCCGTTTTTGAGCATTTAGCGAAACAAGTCCGATTCTTTGTCCGTTTTTAATATCTTCAGCGGATATTTTTCGAATCCACCCTCTTAAGGACAGCTTCTTTGTCTGCTGGACTATTTTATATATAAAGTAATAATAAAATATCTTTAAAAGTTTATTCCCCAGTTATAAAAGTTAACAAGAAACTTGTTGATTATTAATTAAATCATAAAGCTCACTGGCATTTAACTCCCATCATCACATGCAAAGATTAAATCAAGTTATAATTGAGTTATTGATTATTTACATTATTCAGAATCTTGTTCTTTGACTATAAAAGCCATTTCTTGTTTAACTGCTAAAGAGGCATGCAAATCGAACCCATTAAAGGATTACTCTACAGTATAACTTATCACTTTATCTTCGAACATTCTTGGGTAATAAATTTTAAACTTCCCTATCAACTTTTCCAATCAGCTCCCATTCACAAGATAGCCGATGTCACCTGCCACACACACGCGAAATCCGTTGATTGCCTTACCTTAATAATTCCATGCAAATCTCCGGCACAAGGTGTCCGCTTGAAGAATGAAATCCGGCCAAGAATGTATTCCCATCGAATCGGGGAGAGCAATGGCAATAGATATGTGCATATTTATGGCATGGAACGGGGAACGATAAAAAACGCTTCCACGTGCCATCGATGAGTCGCTTTCAGAGCTCCTTCATTAATGCGCGAAATGTGTTAACTAATTAATAATAGAAATTAAGTTGGCTGCCTTTAAAAGGAACAGCAAAAACAAAGCCCACGAAATTGAAATTAATTAGAAGTTCATTGTGTTCAGGGGAGGTCTCCATTTCGGTTTCTTATCCCCATCACATATATTTTTTTTCCTTTTAGCCATCCCAGCCAATTTGGCACCGAAAAATGACTCAAAATTTGTCGGCAGCTCCCCTTTGATCTGATCCGATCTGGGATTGGTATGGAGATGGGAGCTCTAAAGATCTCGAATCGGATCCAAAGATCGTGAGATGATCTGACCTGACCCAGGCCTGGGATCAAATCCGGCCCGATTTATTAGAATTTCCAATGAGTGCTCCCCATCGCATGCTGCTCATCGTAGCACCTCATCGCTTGTGCAAGTCCACACCCGCACCCATACCTCGGATGCCACCTCCCCCATAAATCCCCCCCAGAAAATCCAGCAAAGTTCAGAGCATGCAATTCTCAGACTTGACTTCTTGGCAGTAAACTAAAAACAGTTTTCGTAAGCCGTTTTGGCCATGTGAATGCCGGTGGCGAACAAAAACGCGAGGTAGCGACGTGTAACGATAGCGACTACACATGGGGAAATATTTAAAAATTACAAAAAATAATAATAATATGAGCATAAATGTAAAAGTAGATCAAGAAAAGAGAGCACTTGTAGGGAAATTTAAATAATTTGTAAAAGAAAGTCTTCTGGCTTTATTTTAGACTCAGAAAGTCGAAAGTATTTTAAACTCAGAAATTTCATTAAGATGATTTTCTTTTAGTAAAATGCTTATTCTTATTTTATATTTGTCAGATTTTTTTAACCAACTTAGTAAATATATTTTTGTAAAATTCAGAATTCTTTTTCTATTTACCTTTTTTTTTTTTTAATTTTATTTTTGCAATAAGTGAAATGTTAACACTAAAGATTTTATTCTGTTGACATCTTTCCACATTTATTTATAAGATCTTAATGTAAATTTAGATTTCTTAAATTAAAACCAATAAATTAAATTTAAATCAATAATTTCTGCTTACTTTTTTGTATCCCCTATAATTTTCTCACACTGCAAAAGCCGCAAAAAAAGGGGAGATTTTTTATTTGTTTTTGTTTTTAGTTGGCCCGCACTTGAGGTTGAGTTATTACACGGGTTTCTGTCTCCATCTCACCTGCTGCCACCTCGCCGCCGCCGTTGTTGTTGTTGTTGTCTCTTTATGTGTGTCGCCCCGCACACACTCGTTCACACACATGGGTGTTGTGTGTTGGGTATTCGCCTGCCTCCCTCGCTCATTTGTTTGCTTCTCTGTTATGAAACGGAATTGTGTCAAGGTCGAATTTGCATGAACACGCTAAGCAGCCATCGGCGATCGGTGGGGCGGAGAGGGCAGACGGACTGGCTATCAGCTGTTCTGCGAGATTTGCCTGGCAAATAGTGATTTTTTGGGTTTAACTTTGAATGTTTTTAAAGTTATTGACCGTAGATGATGGGTAACATGTACCCTTAGGTACTTTTTTGGGGGAAATAATTGATAAGATTTAAAATAGGTACTTTAATTTTTTTTGATAAAATTAGATTATTATTAATTTAATATTAATAAAAGTAAAGATAATGTTTGGATTTTAAAGCAATTAAATAAATATTATTATCAATCTTTAAAACTGTTTTTAATCCTAACTCAAACAGACTAGGGACTTATTTTT